TGACCAAAGGCAGAGCTAAAAAAAGAGTGAATATGTATGTACATAAACTATAATTTCACTATATATATGTTTCAGAGGAAACACTGGATGACGAGAAAGAGTCTCAGTCTGAAACTGCTCATTTGGTAACTAGAGTAGTGTTTTACTGTTTGTCCCAAGCAGCAGCACACTGTCATACTCATTTGTCATAGGTGGAATGCTCCTCTATGAAGGTCAGTTATATCAAAACTTCATTTGTGTGTTGATAAATTCAGCTAAAGTGTGACAGTGTGTTGAGTTTCTTACACCGGCTGCTTCGGGTAGATGTTTCCTTCTATTCAAGTGTGCACAGATACTGTTTATATGCTAGGAACACTGGGCTTGAACCAATGCATACTTCCCACAGTGGGCTTCAGCTGTTTCTTATCTACCTCATTTATACCAGGAAGGCTTGGCTACATAACAGAAAACAACCTACAGCCTCCAAAACATCACTCAGTTGATCCAACGCCTCTCTAACTGAACATGATGCAGGATTGTTGGATCAGACTGCAGGAGCTTTAGCTCAGTGATAGTGGTGAAACTAAATCAATACTGTCAGGAATCTCACACTGCTCCTCCCCAGACTGATCTGTGAGTGCTTACAGCATAGAAACAGCAAGTTAGTGCAGGAGGAAATCTTTAGTGACGGAAGTTTAACAGATAAGCTGCTTTCAGATATTGATATCAACCAGAAAAACTGGACTTTAATAGGACTGTAAGTTCTCACAAGGTTGAATAAGGGGTGTGTGTGCGTGTGGTGGTGGTGGTGGGGTGTACGATGAGTGATGGCCTGACTGATTTGGAGGAAGTGGTTTTTGTTTAACTGCAATCTGTCGAGGAATAAAAAAGGAAGAAGCAGTGACTGGCCAACACAGCGACGAGCCTCCTCACCACCGACGTGCACACTCCCCAGCGCAGCTCGAACCCGCTCTGATCCCAGTCAGCGAAACTCGGCGAGCCCGCCTCCACATCTGATTTAATCCACACGAGATTTCTTCGCCTACACTGCCTGTAACGCATGGCTGACATCTGGCCACTGCAATCCAGCACACACCACCAGGATGCTCCGCTCGATCCCCGCAGAGGACCGATGCCCCTGCAGCAAACACCCACAACATACCGCTGTCTCCCTTCACCGCACAGCCACGCACAAACTTTACGCGCAAAGGCAAATTATCACTAATTACGCACTTGCGCTTCAGCAACACGGTCAAACTTCAAAAAAGTTCCACACATACATTTATTAATCCGGGACAAACCGCATTGGAAACAAAGTGTGAATGTGAGCTTACCTCCTGTTGTGAAGTGAAGCAACAGCGGATGCTGGCTGAGTGTGTGGAAGCACGAAAATCAGGTGAACAAAACCACCAGCAGGCTACGACGACACCAGTCGTAACCAACGACAAGGCTTCCTGTGTTTACTTTCAAGATAAATCCTCGGGAATGGGATGAACATTTCGTTTCTGGTTTCAGGGGTACCCCACCCCACTGGGTTATCAGTTTGATGCTGTTGCCCAGTTCACTATCCAGGCGTGTACCATGCAGTGCTGAAGCTCGTTTACTTAAAGCTATATCATAAAGATCATACAGTTCAGAAGCTCAATGATTAATCAATTAATCATAACAATAATGATCAGATTAGCTGACGATGCAGGATTAGCTTTTTTCAATTTATGGTTTTGATATGATTTTTAGTTTAGAAAAATACAAGTAAATAAACTAAAAAATAATAAATAGCAATACATCAGAGTAAAAACCATTTATAATTTTTTACTCAAATTACAGTTTATTTTGAAGGGGAAATCACTTTACTTCCGGATAATCTCAGTTCTAGCTTTAACTTGGCACAGCTGGTCACAGCCATCTTCTCCTGGAGAACCACACCTGGAACCGCACACAAAGCACAGTGACATAAGTTTTGACAGATACCATGACTATATAACAGCAAAGCTATAGAAAAGGATGTAATATGTAACAGTAGTGTCATAGAAGATCATCACAAGAAACACACACTTTAAGTCCCTGTTGATTGTCCCTGCAGGACATTTGAGAGGGACAAAGTGTAGAAATATTTTCGCTTGAAAAACCAGGAAACACGTTTCAGGTAGCGGCAGCATATACAGGAAAGAATGGTGGTATTTTGCTTGTTTCACCCCCATCAGACATAAAAATAAGACTTCTATGTGAGGTTTGACAGGATGAACACAGACACCCCTTCAAAATCCTCCTGCAACCCGGGGGACACTGCTTTTCGGGTGACGCTCACACAGGCCCTGAAGGCCCTGAAACAGGTAAGCCCCCATAAGATGGCTGGACCAGACAGTGTCCCCACTACAGTGTTGAGACCCTGTGGGGATCAACTAACTAGTGTGTATACAGACATCTTCAACCTGTCTTTAACCCAAGCAGTAGTCACTTGCATTTTCAAAAAATCCATTATCTTACCGGTCCGTAAAACATCATGCACGTCCACTCTAAATGACTTCAGGCCAGTGGTGTTCGGTCACATCAGTTGCCATGAAGTGCTTAGAGAAACTGGTCCTCATTCACATTAACCACGTGGTCCCGGACACTGTAGACCCCCTCCAGTTTGCCTACGGCCCCAACAGATCAGTGGACGACGCGATGGCTCTGGCTTTATTCCATACCCTGAAACACCTGGACAACAGCAGTACATATGCTAGGATCCTCTTCCTGGATTACAGTTCTGCATTCAACACCATTCGCCCAGGCAGGCTGATTGGGAAGATGACAGACCTCGGTGTACCAACTCCCACCTGTACCTACATTCTGGACTTCCTGACTGAAAGACCATAGGTAGTTAGAATGGGAGGGCGGGTGTCTGCTGAGCTCACAATCAGCACAGGCTCACCGCAGGGCTGCTGTCTCAGCCCCAAACTCTTCACCCTGTAAACCTACGACTGTGCCTCCAACCATGACAACACCATCATCATTAAATATGCTGATGACACCACCGTTCTGGGCCCCATCAAGGGGGGAAACAAGTCAGGTTACAGAAGCGTGGTGAACGGCATTCTTGTTTATGGAGAGGAGAATGACCTCATCCTCAAGATAAACAAGACAAAAGAAATAATAGTAGACTTCAGGAAGAACCCCTCCCCTCTGCCCAGGCTTATAGAGGACTGGTAGAGAGCATCCGCACCACTGACATCACAGTCTGGTATGGTAACACCACATACAAATACTATTACCCTATTTTTGTGTATTGCGGTTTTTAATGCTTTGTTGCCTTTATGTATTTTTTTTATTTTAAGACTAAGTGTTCTTTCTGGCCTTTGACTCCTTACCTGAATCCAAAGTAGAGCTGCACAAGAATTCCTATATGCCTAGACTGTCTGTTTATGCATAAATGACACATAAAAATCTTGACTTGACATGATAAAAGTGCATATTCGTAAGCCTATTAGTGAGTCATTATTGTTCCTTATCTCTTAAAAATGTTTCAGTTGTACAGAAAGATGCAAAGATGCTCCCATGTATACAATGCATTTTGCCTAATATTCTCAATTGTACATACTGTATATTTAAAATAGAAGCATGTGCAAGAGAAATATGAAGCCAAAAGATAACATAAAAATACCTCAAGTCTAAAAAATAACAAAAGAATAGACATTAAATAAAAAGTTATAAGTCAATTAAAAAGCAAGAAAAAGCAAAAACAAAAACAAGACAACAACAGCAATGAAGAACCCCATACATGTTCAATGTCAATTATCAAAACTTCCAATTGGAAAATTTGAATATTACCAAGGCTTTACATGTAGATACAAATAATCTACTTTGTGGAATTCATACACAATCATGATTCATAATTTATGGACCAGCTGCTACAGTTTCCATCTCTCAGTCATTCCATCTGGTTTTTTGGTCAGCCTCACCTCAGCTCCTTATTTGCATTTCTGACACAATGCAGATACAGTGACTGATAATGTGTTCACAGTACAAACATAGTTTCACTATTGCTCAGATATGTTGTCTTTACTCAAGTACTGTAATTGAGCACAATTTTGAAGTAACTTGCATATTGAGTGTTTTGTTTTGATTTACTTCATAAGTCTAATTTCAGAGGAAAATATTGTGTTTTTATTTCAGTATTATCTGCTGACTGTCCCTGGTAAGCTAGTGGTTAAGGCGCAGTGCTCTCGTAGCTGCGCCCCGGGTTCGAATCAGGGTTTGCCACAGGGAGGGCATCCGGCGTAAAACACGTGCCAAATGTCAACATGCGAGTCGTCAGTGTGACGATTCGCTATGGCGACCCCTAAACGGGAAAAGCCGAAAGTGACTTTCTATTATCTGCCTACTATGATTTGCTGATTATACCTATGTGTGTTAAATTACAGAGTGTTATAAATGTCTGTATAGTCCTTCGAAATCCAAAATAGGGGGGATGGAGTGTTACTAACTTTGGACTTTTTAAAAGTGTATTATATAAAGACAAAGGAATGCATATGTGGAATAATTCTAATGAAATCTCTTCGTTTTGTTGTTGGTCTCAGACATCATAGCTAGCTTCCGTTGTCCAGATGTGGCGAGGTTCATCTTAACCTAACCGAGTATCTTTGATTAAGGGCGAGGTCTCGCGAGAACTAATGACGTCACGGGACAATGGCTGGAGATCGCGGATATTAGGAGGTACTTTTCTGCTTTTATATATTTTACTATGGATTAAATTAGTGCATTTACTTACTTCTTTTATTACAGGGTGTTTTTACGGTCCGTAGGTGAAGTATACATTTCTAGTATTTTGTGCCAACTTATGCCGACACCACCGGTACAAACCCTCAAACCTTCGAAATAAGAGCACAATGTTTTCCGCGCTTTTCACCACTACGTAAACAGTTAGCTTGGCTTCATTAACTACACGCTCTTGTTAGACACCAAGTGACTATAACAGCTTATGAGGTGGCTTGTACAGCATACATAGTATTCACAAGTGTATGTGTAACGATAAACAAACACCAGAAGTCATTTTAAGCTCTCTACGAGACTATAGCTAGCACTATTCAGACTAGTAGGCCTGCTCAAGAAGCAGGCGGGAGCTTTTATTTTACAAAACTGTTTCTCCATCTCATCTAACAAGTCTGCTGATTCATATAATTAAAGGTTGATAAATGCTTAATTAGGTGCTAAATGTTTGTTTAGACAATGCCTCATGGATTGTCCTTTTACACACTCATACTCTTTTGTATTAATATCTATCAGCAGCAGAGGAATCTACAGTTAAGTAGGAGGTGAAGCTGTGACTAAACTTCTCTGGATCACTGATTCACCACTGAGAGTAAGTTTTTATTTATTATAAAGATTTACCATTTCTGCAACATATATCATCTATTCTTCAAGGGCATTTATGATGTTTGAATTTAATTTGATATTTTGTTTGTGTTTAGTAGCTGATATTGGATTTTCATCAGGTGAACAAACAAATGTGAAAAAGTGTGGTCAGAGTCTGCATTTTTCTTATTGTCAGCAAGACCAAACCAGCACGGAGTGTATCCTGCTGATCCTAGTTAACTATACTTGTGATGTGGCTTTAAAGATTTTTATCTTTAGTAGGAACAAATGCCACAGACTGAGACTCACTGTTGGTTTTGTCCTTTTCATGGGAATTGTTCACAGCAAGAAAAATTAATAATATCTATGTTATATAGCTATATTTTTGGCACTTAAACATGTTTAAACAGGAGCACTTTTAATTTGTAGAGTTAACAGCTATTTTGTTATTGTAAAAAGTAAGGGCTGTTTTTAGCCTTTGGAGCTCATTTTTTTGGAAAAAAGACAGTTCATGTGTTTCCTCAGGAAGAAACATGTCATGGTGGCTCACTTGTGTGCTTTTATACGTTTTGGACAACAAATGAGGTCCACAGCACAAAGCAATAACCTAAACCAGGGTCTAGATTCACAGACATTAAAGTAAATAAACCAAATTGACTGTTGCTTTTAGTTTAATATGCAAAGTTCATTAGAAATTTTATTCTGCCTGCATTTTGTGGCTTATGATTGATGTGACTGGATTAAATAAAACTCAGTCAACTTTAGCATCGCTCAGAGGACAACTGCTGAAACAGGGACAACAATTAACTTAGTGTATCTATGTATGGATGTTTAAAAACACATTTTACTAATCAGTGGCATGAATTTGACAGTTTCTTCACCCAGCAGCAGAGATGACTCATGTCACCAATCATGGGAAGCTGCTCTTGCAGCGATTATATCAGCAACGGGAGATGGACTTCTTGTGTGACATAACCATAATGGTAAAAGACGTGGAGTTCCGAGCTCACCGCAACATCCTGGCTGCATTTAGCAAGTACTTCTCGTCCCAGGCTGAAAAGGGTCAAGATGTCACAACCCTGGACCCTGACAAGGTTAGCCGATACGCTCTGGAGAAGCTGCTGGAGTTTATCTACACAGGACACATGAACCTCAGCAGGTAAAATGTTTCTGGTGTTGTTTAAGAGAATGAAGATTTAACAATGTTATTTGTCACCTAACGTAATGACTAAAATGTTGGTTTTATGGTTCCAGCACCAGACAAGCGGCCGTACGTCGAGCAGCAGTGTTCCTGGGAATGTCTGAGGCCACAAAGTACCTGGAGGACATTACCCACTGGTCCGAGCCAAGCAAAACATCCCAATCCCAGTCAGAGACTGAGGGAGAGGCAGATAAAGAAACTGGTCTCTCTCCACTTAGTCCGGTCTCTCCTGGCAGCCCCAGCTCTCCACTTCCTCTGTCTATTGCCTCCATTGCAGGGGAATGGCATGACCAGGGCAATGGTGGCAAAGAGCAGGAGGATGAGGTCAAAGATGTAGGTGTAGAAGGTGGAGATAAAAATGATGAAGAATTTATCCCTGCAGTGGCAAAGAATGCTGGTCGAGGCCAGGGCAGGAAGAGAGGTAGACGGCCTAAGAGTTTCAGTGGTGAGCAGGCAGAGCCCAGCAGCTCCTCTTGGAAGATTCTGACACCAGTGTGAAGGACTTTGGGGACACCTCTGCAGACTGGAGCCCATCGCAGGAGGATGAGCCTCTGATCAAGAAATCACGACTGAGCAGCGGAGAGGGACGGAGAAGGAGAGGTCGAGGGAGAGCAAGAGGACGACCCAGGAAGATACCTGAGGAGGAGCAGATAGAGGAGGAGCAGATAGAGGAGAGCAGCTGGTTTGAAACTGATTATGAGGAGGGGTTTTTAGAGTTTGGGGAGCAGGATCCATCAGAAATGAATGAGCAGTCGCTGTCGTGCACTGAGTGCAACAAGTTTTTCAAAGATGCGAGCAGCTTGCGCAGACACGAGAAAATTCACAGGGGGCTGAAGCCGTTCATCTGCATCTTCTGTTCTAAAACCTTCAGACAAGCCACCCAGCTAAAAACACACCTGCGCATACACACAGGTGAGCTGAGCTACAAACACTTAAACAGCAGTTTTGGCAAAATGATGCTGCAGAAAGGATGGAACTAGGGGTTCAGTCGCTGTCAGTTTTTCTTTAATTTTTAAATTGATTCATTGTTTAGTCTATAAAGTGTCAAAAATGCTGAAAAAAACCGTCAAAATTTCCACAGATTTACAAAGAATGACTGGCACGTGACAGGCCTGCTAGCTGGTGCTAGTGACGTGACCGCTCGCCTGTATTTTCAGCACCAACTCAAACATGTCCCCATGTCACGTAGGGTTAGATGAACATAGTCTCAGAAGAAGACATTTTGACATTGTGTCTATTTCTGCTGTCTCTCTGTCGCTCTGCTGTTTGTTGCAGGAGAGAAGCCATTTGGTTGCACTGACTGTGACAAGTGTTTTGCTCAGAAGTGCCAGCTGGTCGCTCACCGCCGAATGCACCACGGAGAGGAGAAACCTTACACCTGTGACCGCTGTGGTTTCAAGTTCGCTACCTCATCCAACTACAAAATACACATCAGGTACAAGTGTTGCTTCTCTTAATGGTATCAGAGCAAGCTGTCAGTTTCTGAAAGTTACAAAACTTGTGAGACACAGCTCTCTCAACTTCAGTGTTCGGAAGGTTTGACTATCCTCGGAGCACTTTGTTTGAAGCATAGAGATGCCTTGAAGCATTCCTGATTTATATGTCAGCACATTTACAGCCATAGTGTGACTGCCTAACTTTGTTTTTGTGTGTGTTTCCTACAGACTACACAGTGGGGAAAAGCCATATGTCTGTGACATCTGCGGTCAGGCGTTTGCTCAGTCCAGCACCCTGACGTATCACAAGCGCCGACACACCGGAGAGAAGCCGTACCAATGTGATTTGTGCGGCATGTCATTCTCTGTCTCCTCCTCTCTCATCGCTCACACAAGAAAACACACAGGTGAGATGGTTTCCCACACCAATGATTCCAGTGATGAACTTCAGCCAGCTAGGATTTAACAGATGTCACTGCTTTGGGTTTCTTCCAGAGAGATTTAAAAGCCAGAGCTTGTCTGCTTTTGGCTCGGAAAAGCTGTTCTGTCACAGTCCAGGATATAGTGATTTATATGTCTGTGAATATAATTTCAGGAGAGACTCCGTACAAATGTAAACAGCCAAACTGTGATGCAAGTTTTGTGACGTCGTCCGAACTGAAGAAACACATGCGACGACTTCACCCAGGTGAACATGTTGACTGATGTGTTGTTAGCAGTGTAAACCTGAATCGCTCTGAATGCTTGTTCATCAAAAGCCATTGCTCCTGGGTAATAATGTGAACAAGAAAACACAGGCCCTCTCATTCCTTTGAATGTGGGAAGTGTGTTGCACAGCAGAGACTGGCTTGGGGGGGCAGCGCCACCAAAATGATGCAGCGACGTGGTTCAGCATTTTCTGCAATGCAGCGTGATGTCATTCAGCAAAGTGTTGCGATGGTCAGTTTTATAGGTGCAAGCTCATATTCCTGATGATTAAAGCTACAATATGGAGCTTAAGGCAGCACTAGCATGAAACTGCACTCAGCTTCACCCAGCACTTCCTCTCCCTGCTCCACCACACTCTGCCCAGCTCTTCAGATATTTGGTGTTATGAAGTTACAATAAATGAGAATGGAGCAAAACATATTGATCAAGCAGAAATAACTGATTGGTCAGAGAGGTCAGTCCCGCTCAAAAACGTGTAGAAGCTAATATCTCTGCACTGCCAATGCTGTTCAGTGCGTCTGGGTCACAGGAGGCTTTTGGAGGAGATTTCTAGAGCAGAAATATTGAAAAATTTTCCACACTGTAGCTTTAAACCAAACATGAAACAGATTCCACCATGGTAACTTTATAGAATTTTAAACTCCTGTCTGAGTATCACAAACCCCCTGCTGTGTTTTCACATCTCTGAAGCTTTAAACACAGATCTGTTTGTCAACTGGACTTCCCACATTTCATCTAAAAAGTAACAACCCCCACTAACACAGCCCCATGTGTCTGTCTGAATGCAGCCTTAGACTAATGACAGGCACAGTCAGAGGATGAAAGTACGATTGAAGTCTTCCTGTGTGTGTGTGTGTGTGTGCGCGTGTGCAAAGGGGAATGCCGGCGTGCAGTGCCTGCTGTGTGGAAACAGGTTTGCCAGCGTGAAAAACATGATCAAACACCAGGAGAAGGCTCACGCTGATGAAGTGCGGCAACACAAGGAGAGGGCCAGAGCTGGTGAGCTTATGTCTGTTTCTCTGTGTGACCATGAACATCTTTTATTGTTTGTGGTGTGTTTATTTAAACTGATAACAAAACTCAGTGATGCAGTCCAGCAACCAGTAACTTAAACAGAATGAAAGTCTGTTGGGTCCATTTTTTTTTTCCTGTCTGAGAAGTGTGTGTTTGTGTCTGAGTAGTCGTCCTCCTGGCCTCCAGTCATCCTGTGGCCTTCGTCCAGAGCAAACTCTCCCAGGAAAACAAAGGTTTGGTGTCTGTCCCCGAAGTAGAGCCAACCAACCCTGAACCGGACACCCCCAACCCCAAAGCCACTGCACCATCCGCAGAGGTCGCTGCCACTGACGCTGATACCACCACTAGCACCACCGCTGACACCATCATCCAGGGTTTCAAGCCGGAGCCCGTTCACAACGATATCACCACCACCAACCAGGTGACCTTCGAAGCCGACCAAGAGCAAACCATCAACTCGGACACCCTCCATGCCCTGGTGGAGCAGCTGCGGCCAGCGGCCTCCCCCACCCCAGGCCTGGAGCAGATCGTCATCATCAGGACGGTGGACACCACTGAGAACAACCCTCCTCAGCAGTGAGACCTGAGCCACAGCAGGGTCGCGGTCACTGTGGTAGAACATTTTCACTTTTTAACACACGAGCAACAGTCAGTCTCCAAGTCAGGGCTCGGATTCATCCCCGTAAAACAGATGTCAGTAATCTGCCAGTGAAGGTGGTTTGTTACAACCTAGGTCTTCATAGTTTTGTCCATCTTCTCTGTTAGTAATAAAAATATTATAGTGATGAATCAGTCAGATCAACAACGACAGGCAACTGGATTATCAGACAGTAAAATAACTCTGACATCCTAATCTTGATCTGCTGCACTCGGTGTAGTTGTGTGCATTGTTTTCCTGTTCAGTGAGAAATGATTACTTATTTCATCTGCACTCACTTTCAGCTTTGTTTCCAAACCAAATAAAGTGGTTCATATAATCTTACTGCTTCGTCAAACTTAAAGGAAGCGCTCTGTTGCCAGACCCCAGCCATTACTTTACTTTACTTTACTATAATGTTACAGTTACTTGAGGACATAACAGTGAAGACTAAAACAATAAGACCTGAGCTGTAGAAAAACAACTAGAATTATTCTTTAACTGAGCTGTCTCCTTTTCCCTCCAGTCAGGAGGGAAAGTGAAACAGAAACCCAGCAGAATGGATTTAAAGTTGTTCACAAACAGGGAGCAGGATGGAAAACCTGAAATGGGTCTCACCTCTTTTCACCACAGGAACTTTAAGATCCAGTTCCTGGTGTTTTCCTAAACCAGGAACCATCAGGGTGGAGTTCCCTGTGCTGAGTGAAACACAAGGCAAGAACAGCTAGCATCCATTCAGACAAAGGGTGTAAATAAACAGTAAAAGACATAAATAACACTAATGGTTTTAGGGCAGCTAACAGTTAGTATTATCATTGATTAGTCAGTTGATTATTTTCTCAGTTAAATGTTAAAGCTATAAAATATCAGGCTGATATCTGACCAGCAGTCCAACATTAATATTACTGCATTCTAAAACTGAAAAGCTTCATATTTAAAAGTCTGAAAATGGCATTTCTTGGCGCTCTTGCTTAGGAAATTATTTTTGCTATTGATCATTTATCAGAATAGTTAATTTTGTGACGACCAATCAACCAAATCACTGCAGCTCTAGTTGATTTTATGCCATTTTGACATTGAAAAAACAGTCTCAAACTGTAAAGGTAACACTTTACAGGTGCATTATTTCCTAATAATTTGTGGAAGGTTTCTTGGAAAGAAGCATATAGTTTGGTAGCAATGACAGGAAACAGCAAGTTTAGATTGGAGTCAGCTGTGTTGAGTTTATTATTGGTTTGCAGACAAATTTCCAAGAAGAAAGGCTCATTTTAATTCAGAGAAAATATTTATTTTTCAAAACTTGTTGACACGTTTAATATTGTGCGTGTGTAGCTCATGTTAGCTAAGCATTTAGAAATAACCGGAATAATTACAGTAATTTACATTGTAATTAGTAGCAGATTATATGGTTCTTACCAGGAAATGAATTGGGATATTATTTCAAAATAAATAGGAATTTACAGACCCATAAAATAATGTTGGCATTTATAAAATTGAATTAAGAGTGCACTGATCTCATGAGCCTAATAGGGTCAGGCGACTGATCCACAGTTTATTGTTGATGTCATGTTTCATTCATTCAATGCGGAGCATCAGTTCAGTTTACTACACAATTTGTGGTGCGTAAAATTGTATTATTTATCAGTTAACGTGTGTTTTCACACCAGGAGCCTTGCTGTCAGTTTTTCTGTTTTAGCAGAAGACGGTAATAATAGGAATCCGTTTCACAGAGATGTTTTAGGCTTTCTGAACAAAGAGCATCGTGTTGGCAGCAGAAGAGTGTGATCGATGCCTCCCTGAACAACACAGCTGTTTGGCTCCTGACTTTAAAGAGAAGAAGTGTTCAGAACAATCTGAGCTAAAAGGTGGAAATGTTCTACAAAACCTAAATATCATTCCTGTTTAGAGCTATGTGACATTTTGTCATTTAGCTTGAATCGCTTGGAATAACAGCTTTGCTAATTGTGTATCATCAGTAACATCAGGTAAAACCCTCAACAACGTGCCAACACCGAGGTCTGGCTGGATTACTTTTATACTTGGGGTAATTAATGTAGGAAGAGTTCATGCTCGCATAAAAGTAACTCTTGTGTTCATATAATAGGAGCTTTAGTGTGTTGGCACCATTAGATATGATTTTATCCTAACTGTTTCACCAGGTTTTTGACGTGATGTTGGCTTTACTGATGTAAAAACATCCCTCTTAATGCTTTTTTTAAAAGCAGCTGTTTCTGGTATTAGCAGAACTGTTTGTGCATCAACTTCAGTTCAAAACTGCAATATATCGAGAGTTTCTATTAAAGCTAGCATTTGTTTCTCATTTTCTTTTTTCATTTCATTGTTTGTCTTTCGGATAAAAAAGGATGCATTGCCTGTATAGATGTTAATTGCATATGTACAAGTCCACTTCTGTATAAAACTGTACAACCACAGGAAAATAAAATTTAAGACAAAAGGGGACAATCCGATGTTTTTGTCTCAGTGAATATTGCATTGCTGACAGTTTTGTATTAGATTCTACTTATGTCTGACACCGAGACACCATCTTCCAGGTTGCCGTAGAAACATAAATTTACCCAGGCATAGCAATGGCAGTCGAAGCCTTATCCCAGTTTTACGAAGCTGCCTGCACGGAACTTCAGAAAAAAATCAAACCATATCTTTTAGAGGTTTTAGAAAAGTCGGCGTTGACGGAGTAAGTGGTTTCCTGAACTCAAACGACTGAACACGGGGTGAAAACTAAAAGCCAACGGTCAGATGTTGCCTTTGGGTGCTGTCAGTTAAAATGGAAATTTTCTAGCGAAAGAATCATGTTACTTGATTATAAAGTCCTGCATTTTATCCCACTTATTTACTCAATATTAGCGTAAAAATGCGATAATGGTGAGTAGATAGCTGTTAAATACTGCACGTTAAGTAGCAATTACTGTTTTCCACTGTATGCTAGCATTGGTGGAATAAATTGTAGGATAGGGTCCGTCTTACCATGCTAACTCTGAGAGACGAGACAGTCCAAGTAACTTCAAAACAGTGCTGATTTATTCAAAGGATCACAGGTAAAATTAACATTACACGCTCAAGGGTCTTACACCGCCATCATGCGCGCAGGCAGATGTAAGATGAAAGACCCTGAACTCACCAGGCCTATACATTATATCCCCTCGGTTGGGCTAGCCCCATACTACACAGGAACGTCAACTGAGACGTCTCTGTTACCAGCTTTGCAGCTGGTCATAGCAGTAGTCAAAACATGAAGCAAATCAATGTGTGTGTGTCTGTTGGTTAAGTGGTGTGTAGCTAAAAACATTCTCACACGACCTCTAGTGACATGTCATGACATTAAACATAAGAAAATATTATGGCTAAGGCTACACTTATACACATCATAATAATAATAATATTAAACACCCTCTCTGCTGACAGTCATCAACTCTTCTCTCTAGTTATCCTTGACCAGATGTACCCTGTAGAAACTCATAAGCATGACTAAGCATTTAACAGTCTAACTAGACATCCTATCTCCACTAACATTTCTAATACATAAAGTATCTATCCAATATCTATCTGACTAAAAATATCTAACAATTCCCCCTTTCGACACGACCAAAATCGTGTCGACCTAAATCAATGTCCCTTTGTCCCCAGATGCAGCCACCTAGCGTTTCGAGAGGTGAGAGGCCCCCCTCATGGCCACTGTCTCAATGGTCAACTATAGAGCTGAGAACTTTAGGGAAAAATGAACTAAAAACACAAGAGGGGTACCAGCATGTAAGCAGGTTCTTCGTTGCAGTGACCTCTATATGT